TGCGCAATACACAAAAGCCGGTGCATGTCACTTTTGGGAAAATTATTAAAAGTTTTAAAAAAATTTTATTTTCTTTAGTAATGCAGTACATGACATCTTCCCTTAGCTTCACCTCAAGCAGATATCTCAGTCCTCAGGTTTACATTACCAGACAACTCTTCCTTAATATAACAGGAGGACCACTGGGTATCAGCACCATCTATAAGAAATTATTAATAATAATAGTTCGTAAGAAAAAATTTAGGAACTTTGAAAAAATCCGACATTTTAAACAATTACATGTATGTGCACACTCAATAGCACTTCGACAAAAATTCACATTAAACCTTGGGCAAATCGACAAAAAATCACTACATTAAATATGCATAGGGTTGTCTAATTAATACTACAGTTAAATAGTCTAATCTTCATTAAAAGTGGGTGCAGTCACAATGACATGGAGCATATAAGGAAGTCACTAACATTAGCAACAGTACGAGCCACTGAGGCAGGTCAGTATAAATCTGTATTTCTACGATACTTAATGGAAGTAGGAGTGGCTAGTAGTTGAAACTTTGTTTTTTCATGGACAACTAAATATCAATAATTAAGCAAATAATGTCTTAAAAGAAAGGATTATAGTACAGGGGCATTTCTCAAAATTTCACATTTTTTCTTAAAATGAGAATTAGCTCAAACTTTTACACAGCATTATGCATCATAAAAATTGGGGCCACTTTCCAAAAAAACTAAAAAGCTATAGCCTGTTTTTTCTCATAAATTTGCTACATGTACATGTACTTCTTTAAATGGCCCTAACTCTAAAAGTTTAAGTTGAAATCAGCTTAGAATTTCTACAAAGGTAAGAAAATGCAATAAAAACTGGGACACAACAAAAATTCGGGGTGATTTTAGCTTCACCCCCCCTTCAAGATACAGTGTACATGAATGGCAATTGTAAATTTATGGCACACATCCAAATTATACATGACGACCAGCAAACAACAAGAATACATGTAATTTAGCAATTTGACCAAGTTTTGATATGCTATCGTTCATGTTACTACATGTATAAATGAATGGACTCAACTCAACAAAATAAGTAGTAAAAAATACTAAAATAATGTCAGTTATTAAATAATGTATGATTAATTATTATATTAAAATTATGACGTATCCATATAGACAACTCTAAGCAAGAATTGAATGCGTAGGAAGAATATTAAAATTTTTACAGTTGTGAGGCACGGTTTAGGATAAAATTAATTCTGGCCGCCATTTTGGTTAGCAACTTTCAATGGAGAACAAACGGGCAGACATAAAAATAAACCTATACTAAGAATTCTGCAACAAATTTGACAAAATCCTTGAAAGACAGGAGAAGCTTTTCTTTATTACAAGCACCTTTAAGCTAAGCTACTGTAGGTACTAGGTAAGTGAGGCATTTTCTTTGTCTTCATTTAATTCCATAACAAACTTGCCACACTCAATGGCAGCCAATTATGACCTGTGGGTGGATATCGTATATAATTTTTTAAATCATATCTTTTCCAATTCACACCTAGGGTGGTCTATACAATTCTTGGGAAGAAACTACAAATTATTGTCGGTCAAGAATCAAAATCATTTTTATTAGAATCATTTTGTAGAATACCATATGGAGTAAAATTATGTGAAACAAATTTGACACTTTTCTCTAAAGGAAAACTGGCAGGAATACTAAGTGTACATAATAGACCTCTTTGGGTAAGAATGAATTACGTCAAAGAATGATATACGGCAGCGGGCATGACTGAGCCTGAAATAATTTTCATGGACGGCAACTTTCCATGGAGTATGAATGGGCTAATGCAAAAAGCAAGCCGTAATAAGGAATATGCTTCATATTGCACCAAATCCCTTTTAGGAGATGCATAGCAGCACCCATTCTTTCCTGCAAATAGCTTTTGTAGCTCAAAAAAGCTCCACGCTAACAAAAAAATCCGTTGATTGTTCTCCATTTACCCTCCATTGGATCTTGCCGTCCAAAATTGCAACCAATCATCATGCATTGGTGGATACTGTAAAAATAGTAATGATATTCATACGCCACCCTGTCAATCTCACCTCAAGAGGTTTATACAATTTAGGTATGGCATATATGTACTCTTGATAATGACTGACATCACAAGTGGAGCAGCCAAAATTACAATACTATTACCTTAAATATCTGACCACTGGAATACTCTTGTAGAGTTCTCTTCATCTGGCTCTACACTATCTCATAAATAGGAGGGACTAGGCTTTGACCAAATTCATCTCCTCTTAATCTAGCTACAGTGCTCCTTATCTGAACTATCAGCCTCATCAAAAGAGGAAACGGAGGAGCGTCGTATCATTTCCAGAGGCAGCAGATACAAATGATGATCTGAAGGCTGAAAATAAAAGCACATAGATATTTCATTTACTCTAATATCCTCGAATATCTATGGCACATCAAGTGTCAAAGACCACGCCTTTCAACACGTGTTTGAACGTGGTTGGCTACTCTTGATAATCGTACTCTCTATTGTCTGTTTTTATAGTTTGGAAAATCACTGTAGTCAAATCCCTCCCAGTATGACAAGATAAGTAGAAGTTATAAAAAATTATTTATTCAAGATAATTTTAACAAAAACAATATCAATCTATATAAATATCATCATTAATTGTTAATAAACCATCATGTCTATGAGTCCTTTTATTACGGATGACCATAAACACAACTACTAATATGACAACAATAAGTACTGTCACTACAAATGCGACCAATATACCAACAGTGACTCCAATGACAACTGCATAAGACTCTGTTAACACAAAAGATCTATCACATTATATAATAAAAATTATGGTCTTACTTATATTAGAGCATCTCACAATAGTTTCCAGTTGACCATTGAAGCACTGTGGATTACTGGCAAAGCCTGAACTTGAATCTCCTTGACAATTATGACCAGAACAAAGGAATCTATTCAAATACAATATCCCCTGGGGAGAGCCCCTGTATAAGGTCTCAGCAAGACTTGAGTTTGAAGAAAGGAGCTCACCAACTAAATAAAAATAAATACAAGGATGTCATGCATATTTTATTAAGGTTGAACAAAGAAGCTATTAATAACTTACATAGAAATCCCGCACTATTGCATAAAGCTAGTCCCAATTCAGGAGAATTAGTACCATCATTACATATTCTTGCATATGTCCCTGTTATACAGAACTGCGGTATCCCAATGGTATAACTGATTCCATCAATGGTAGCTGTTTGACTATTAAATAAAGTAGCATAATAGTCCTCATCACAAACTATAAATGAAATAAGTAATTTATATTAAGTTGTGTAAAAACCTATTGGTATATTAAATCAAAATTGAATTTTTACAAATTTTTATAATTGAAGTATTGTACGCCATTATAGTAAAAAACTTTTCTCAAATTTTTTAATAAAATTTTAGGAGAAATTTTATTAAAATTTTCCAATCCATATACATGTACATGTACATGTACTTATGTTGTGTAACGGAACTTTGAGTCGACTATGATAAAATAGAATTTTTAAAGGGTTTTTGAAATCAAAATTTGGCCAAAAACATACCATTTCATCAAAAATGACAAGGAATAAGAATTCTTCACAAAAACAGATAATACATGTAAGTGTATGTGCAGTGTACCTCAAAAATGAAGTAGGCATTTCTGCACATAGCAAATTCAATATTGGCACCGGGGGTCAGAGTACATATAGAGCTCTTGCACAGATGTAATCAAGGGGGGTGTGGCTATAAATTCCCGCCATGTTGGGTGGGAAGAATGTATACATACATGTACATGTAGAATAAATGGAGATGCAGTCTAGCAAACTGGGATTTTCCAACAATGAGATATCATGCTTGGCTATAGAATATTATAGAGAGTTCTTCACTCAATACTTTCATCTTCTAGCTTGCATTAGCCTGTAATGTCAACTGCAGAATTTATTCTGACTTTTCTCCATTCTCCACATTTCACCATGTACATTCTTGCCACTCAAGATGGCAGACAGTCATA